TCCCAAGACGGCACCTACCGTCGCGGTAGTCAGACAACATACAAAATGTACTGGTCGCTGGCCAACGATCTCTCGGCGGTCGCCTCCAACACATCCGGTATTGGTGGTCGCAGTCTACTACGGTCCAGTGCCACCTATGCGTATGCCAACACGTCTCTTTCCAGCGTCTACGTCCTCAACGGCACGCTGGCATCGCCCTTGACCCGCGGCTTTCAGCTTACAACGGCGCTCTTTGGTCCCTACGGCTCGATCGACATGGTGTATGTGCCCCCGCCGGTCGCTTTGCAGCAGCTCATGTCGTATCTGCTGGATGCGACGCGGACGTCCCTCGCCGGCAACCTCGCCGCCCAAGGCGCGTACTTCAACATTACCCCCCTCGACCTCTCGCGGCCAGTACCCTCGTTGTGGCTCACGTCGCGTTTGGTTACGTTTGGCGGCTCACCGCTGTGCCCCGAAGCCTTGTCGGGCGGTGCGCTAACGACCGCGGGTCTCGGCACGCTCGTGTCGTACGACGGCATTTGCTTGACATCCACGGGCACCGTCAAGGTGCAACCCACCCGGCAGCAGTACATTCTATCTGCGATTCTCGCGGGGCTTCAGATGACCGACAACATGACGGCGATCTGCGCGCTCGACCCATCGTTCACGGCGCAGTGCGCAGTCTACTTGCCGCGCACGCTCGGCTACATTCAGCAGTACATGCAGCTACCGTCATCAATGGCAATTGATGTGGCCAACATGCACCAGCGAATCGCAGGGATGAATATATCCGCCATGATTTACGCCCGGACAAGTACAAACACGTCGTTGCCGCTCACCCTTCGTGTGCTCAACCTGCTCGACGACCGCGAACGAAGCTTCAAGTTTTTCGCGTGGCTCTTCTTCTACGACTGGGTCTTTGGCATCCGCGAAGTCATTTCGTTTCAAGGCGACGACGGCGGGTTGTCGCTCATGAGCGATCTTTCGACGCCGCTCTCCCAAGCGACCCAGGCGTGGGAGGTCCCCGCCAACATTGCCCAGTACCTTCGCGCGGGTGTCCTCTACGTCACCGGCGTCATGATCGCTGTCGCCGGTCTCGCGTTCGTCTACATCATGGCAGGTCGGGGGCAGTTTGAGGGCCTCAACATGCTCGAGCTCGGCCGGGTTGGCGGCATTGTCTGGGTCGGTCGGCCCTTCTTGCTGCTCCGAAGCATGACGGCCATCTGTGTGCTCTCGACCGCCACACTGCAGCTGCAGAATTCGGGCTATTTGAGCTACTTTGCGACCGTCCAAGATCCGTGGTACAAGACATTTTTGGCAGCGAATGAAGTCACGTGGCTGATTACGATCGTCAACGACATCTTTCTCGTGTTCACCGGCGACTATGCGTCGTACTATGTCACCCCCAACGGCTTTGTCGTCTGGGTCTTTGCGTCGGCCGTCACGGTCGCATCGCCCGTGACACCGGCCACGACCATCGACTTGCACTGCCGCCTCGAGCAAGTCGACTTGTACGCTGTGTGTACCGCCGGCGACATTGCCATTGGTAGCTCCCAGCGTATGCTTCTCTTGGCGTCGGCCGTGCTCCTCTCGCAGGTCCTCTCGTTCGCCACCGCCCGGCTCTGTATCCGAGTCGCGCCGTCGAACCCCGTCACGTCGCTCTTCATGTCGTCGGGTGCAAAGTTTCTGTTTGTGCCGGGGCCCTGGATGGACGGCGATGTCTACTATGTGGACCGTGCGTCTGCTGTTCTCGACGGGCTGCTGACGTGGCGACTCGATGCCAAGCGGCTCGTGGTCCTCGACGTCAAGAGCTGGCGCATCTTCATGATCCCTGTCGACACGATGCACCCGATTAGCCCTGCGTTCGCCGCGGCCGTTCCTCTGATCAACGATGTCTAGTTCGACTCGGTTTATGTACATAATTGTCTATCAAGTGCATATGTATATATACCTGTCCATGGCGAAAGAGGTTTGGGATGACGCATCATGGAAGATCCTGTCCATGCGACCAAATGCTGGCTTCACGAGGGAGGCTCGTTCCGACACGTGGGATCGAGAGGACACGGAGCCGCCTTCTTGGTGAGCGCAGAACGGTGGATCGACCTCTATGCACTGCAGTCGTATAGGCGGTGATGGCGGCGCGCGACGATCCAGTGCTTTGCTCGACGCGACCAAGCGCCGGGCAGCCGAAGGCTGCGAATGAAGCAACTACCAATGAAGTCATCATGTTGGGAGTAGAGTCATGGGCGCCGTCGACGTACGCAATCTGTTGTTGGGAGGCTCATCGGAAGAGCGCCATGTACTCTTCGGGAATGTCGTCCGAGTAGAGCTCCTGCGCGTACATGCGCTCCTTCTGCGCTGCCTGGGCCTTGGCCGCCTTGCGCTGTCGCTTCTCGGCCGGCGTCCGCTTTGGCTGCTGTGCGATCGGCTGCGGTGGCTTCTCGATGTGGGTCACGCGGTACGTGAGCGGCGCGGCGCCGAGGCCAGCGCGGTCGCGCTTCCAGCACGTCGCGACCGGCTCGGTGCGGCCTTGCTTCTCCGGGCCAAGGCCCTCGCCGGCCTTCCAGCCCATGGTCTCGAGGAGGCGGTAGCCCACGTTGGACGAAGCGATCACGTGCGCGTCAGTCCGCGCCCGCTTGGTCCCGCGCGCTGCGCTGCGGAGCTCGGTCGTCTCGACCTTGGCCTCCATGGCGGCAACCGTCAAAGTGCCAACGGCTCGTTCAACGTGACGTTAAATAGGTGCAACGCTGCTTCCGACACGTTTTTCCAATTCACACATGTGTGCGTAATGTGTAAAACATCGCCACCGGTGACAACGCAGTCGCTTTGGCCACCTAAAACACGGTACCCACGTTTTACACGCTTCGACAATTAAACGTGTCTGTTTGACCGACGGCAAAACAGCGTTAAACGAGTCGACCATCATCAGCGCTCATTCCTCTCAAAGGCATTGTTTATCCGGACATTGTTATCCGGACAACTGGCCTGGCGCGCTGCCAAATGGGCGATGCAGATCGACATTTGGAGTTTGGAACGAAGTCTCTACTTTCATTCGATATGCATAGAAAAAGTTATAGGGAGCTCAAATACCCAAAAATGGTGCTCGTAGCACGCGTACAGCGTGTGCTATGCGCCATTGAAATTGGTGGGAACTGATACTAAACTTAGTATCAGTGTATCAATGTATCAGTATTGGCCAACTAAAATGGCATGGTCCAGAAGTACCTCGCTCTCGCTTGATCATCTGTAGAGTCAATTCTTGTAAGGACATTCGACCAAGCGCCCATGCAACATCACGTATCATATTGTGTGTTTAGGGGACAAACACAAACTGCGCATCTTCGTCGCCAACGCGGGCGTCCTTGATGTGGATCATGTCCCCGTCATAGCCATACAAAATCCACTCTTGGTAACGGCGGTGCCGGATCCAGCCGTACTCGGCGCTCAAATCAAAGTCCCAGTGCTGGTTGCCGTTCTGGAGGTTGCAGGGATACCCGTGTACAACCGGGTTGCCGGCGTCGTTGCTCCAGTACGCGTCAAGACACAAGTCGGTGTGAACGTTCCGGAGCATGTCGACCTTGTTGGACTCGGGTGACTGGTACACTTCCCACGCTTTCGAGCCGTCACAGTCGCGGCACTTGGTTGTGACGGCCGACCCACTTATGGTCGTCCACTGGTCTTGCGGCGTCCAGAGGTTCATCCAGCCTGTCCAAAAGAGGGTGCCGCGCTGAATGCCCCACTGCCGCGTCGGAAACTGGTTCTGACGCGTCGCTGCCTCCGTGGTGTTGGCAGACGAGAGCGTGACGTTCTTGCTTGGAAGCGGGTCGCCCAGCGCTACGGCGGCGAGAGCGATCATGACCGAGACGTGGAGACCCATACGACTGTCACGGGGAGAAGAAAATATCAAATGAGCAGATTCCAAGAGCTGAAGTGGTCGATTTGTGAAGAAGCTGTCTTTAGCAAGGCCGTCAGCCTGTCGCGCGACGAGTAGAAAGTGCAGCGACCAGAATACGTGGCATCCCTACAGCTCGACGAATCAATATGACTCGCACCGAGGACAGTAGACAGTATGACCGAATCTTTTGTCCCGTTGTGACGACGAAGCGGCCACGTTTTTGACCAAGCTACATCTTTAACATTTGCTCCTGAATACTTGAGTGGTGTGTCTCTTCCACCTTGATCACCCCTGTGCACGACGCTTGGCTTCGTGACCACCTCATGCCAGCTTGTGCCATCCATACGCCTCGCGTTTGCGACGGGTACGCCTTGCTGACGCTACGGCAGCAACATACCACTACATAACGGACCGCAGCGTCCACGGGTTAGGTGACGCATACCAGACCAGATGTGGTAGTCACACCGCGTCTTCCATCTGGTCGGCATACGACGACTGGATACAACGACATGGAGCTGCTTTTTGCGCGTTGGGAAAAGCCGCAGAGCTTGCCTTGCCACTGAGCTCTCGGGCGTCCACTCCATAGGTGTGACGAGTGGTTTGCAGAAGCTGAAAATTAGAATCGTCAGAACGAGAAGGCGACCCTTGGTATCAACGATTCCGTAGTCTTTAACTAGAACGTAGAACATTGTCCTCTTGGAAATGTTATCCGGACGGCCGCGCTGTCTAAACTCGTTTTAACTCGGATCTATGCAAGTTCAACCACAACGTTTTATCCAATGCACGCAATCTACCGTGTTAAATACGTGAATATAGAGTGGTTTTCTAGTGTCAAACGTTTTCTCACTTGTTTTTCACGTGTTTAACCTATAAAACGCCATTCGAAAAACTCGTTGAACTTGGGCTGGCAATTTCGAAAAAAGGCAAATGGCCAAGCCCGAGCACGCCGAGACCGAGACCGAGCTCCTCGGACGCTACGAGCGCCGGCTCGTCGAGAAGTACCGCTTCGCGCTCGTTGACATCATCGACGACCTCTGCTCGCTGCTCAACCTCTTCCGCGTCGCGAACGGCGAGCTCGACGTCCTCGAGCCGCTCGCGGCCAAGAAGCTCGCACAGCTCTGCCCGTTCCTGCGCAATGCGCGCGACAAGATTGCGCTCCTCACGCAGGCGACGCCACTCTTCCTCGGCTATGACGACATCATGAGCTACAGCAAGCTGCTCGAAATCGAGATCAAGGCGCTGGACCCGCGGCCACAGCCGTGGAACGCCCTGCGCGTCTACGACAAGGAGTTCCAAGGTACAATGCATGCATCTGCGTGGCGCCGATGGCATCCTAGAGCACTTTGCGGTACGGATCGACAAGCTCACGGCGCTGTACCTCAAGCTCGCGGCGCACATCCCTACGCTGCGCCAGGACATGGAGACCCATGGCAGCGTCCTGCGCATTCTCACGCGCAAGCGCAACGACCTCGTGACGTTGCTGCGTGAGAGCATGGCGACGACGCACTTGCCGGCGAACGCCAAGAAGCACAAGTCGGAGCTCAAGCAGTGGTACCAGCGCAGCTTGGCCAAGTACAAGACGGCGCTTCAAGGTGGGTATCTCAATTGAGATCGTCCATGAACCATCTCGTGTAGCGACGCCACTCAAACTCGAAAAGCAGATTCAGTTTGAGATTCGGTCCTTTACCGAGAGCTTGAATGGACTTCTGGCGCCGCACGCGGAAATTGCCAAGACGCTGCGCGTCGCGTAGGCTGCCACGTCATCATGGAACGGCCGTCTAACCACACGCAACTAGGAATGCATCGGTGCTCAACGACGCCGGTCGCTTCAGCGACGCCGACCTCGGGGCCATTCTCTCTAGCCGCGAGGCCATCCTGCGCTTTGAGGAGGCGCCGGGCGAGTTTTGCGCCTTGGTCTCGACGTCGATCGAGACGTTCTTAGCACAGCTGCAGCTGTTTGAAGCCGCTTGCCGCGAGGTCGACTCCCTCGATGCAGCGCTGCGTCATGCACACGGGTTGTAGGACTTGTTTGCGGTTCTCGCGACCCCGCTCAAGCTCGGGTTCACACCCGAAAAAGCGGTCGACAGCGAGATGTTCGTGGCCATTGGCCAGGATTTGCAAGCGCGCATGAAGGAGCTCACGTCGCTCCGGCACTCGATCAAGTACCAGACCGTCGTTGCCCACTGCAAGGGTTGGTCGACAGCTTGTCGACGTTTTTGTATATGTATATATACGGATAGAGGCGCGGTACGAAGTTTCTGTGTGTTACCAGCAGTGGCAGCAAGCGTACGTGTCATGCGTTGACGAGGAAGACGTCAGATGACGTGGTGTAGGAGCAATGCGCCGTCCAAAGACGCCTCGAAGGACGACGCCATGGCCCGTGTTCGGCGCCAGATCCAGTCGCTCGTCGTCGCCGACGGCCTCGTGTGTGCCTGAGCCATTGCCAACGACATTTTCTAGCAAATTGTAGACAAGTCAAAACTTGCATTTCATAAATCGGTTAAAAATCATCCAGCCACGGTCGAAAGTCAAACATGAGATTGTCGTCCGTGCTCCACGAAGGCTCCATGTACGAGTCACCAAACGCGCTGATGGCCAAGCACCAGCCGGGATGGCGCTTGCTGCAAATCTTGCCGCCGTCGGGGCCACCGCGTTTCGGCAGCTGATAGCTCCAGCGCTGGTTGGGCTCGTCGTAGCTGCACTTATAGCCGTGTACAAATGGCTTGTTGGCATAGTCGTTCCACCACGCGTCCAAACACAAGTCGTCTTGGACGTTGCGCAGCATATCGAAATCCGGGGATCCGTTCGACTTGAGCGCATGCCAGACCTTGCCGCCCGCGTCATTCCAGCGACGCGTGTTGACGATCGTGTTCCAAATCGTCATCCACGAGTCGAGGCGGTCGTAGGGCCGCCATATGTACGGCGTGTGCGCAACACGAATGACGCCAAACTTGTTGGTGAGGTCGGGTCCCGGCAGCATGCTGTCTTCGACGCGAAGGTTGCCCGTCTTGTTGGTGGGCACCGTGCTGTTGAGCGCAGCGACGTGCTCTAAAGCCAGAGCCATGACGAGGCACCACGACAAGGCGACGAGATGCGCCATCGTGCCAAAGGAGAAATGACTGTGGGTGCAAGAACACCGTAGCGATGGAACGACACGCAGACAACTTCGTGTCTCTGCGCCCGCGAGTAGGAGTACCGCGCCACGTCGAGTACAGTACTGCGTGAGAGACAGCGAGAAGAATTGGCCATCAGACGATGCGTTCTGCTGATGTTGGATGGGCACAGATGATCGTTCCCTTTAAGAGGACTTGTGTTGCCTAAAGTAGATTGCTAAAGCTTCAAGAGTGTAAGGACTAGAAACACAAATGCAGCGAATCCCACGTCCGAGTACACCTGCAATAGCCCGACAAGATTTCGTGTCGCATCTTGTGGATCGATCAGCTATACAGTACAGTACATCTCGTACGGTACGTAGTATGCCACACCGCCAGCTCACACTGCCCTTGTAGAATTCTCGGTACGAATGCACAAAGCTCGGGCAATGTGATGCCCATCGAAATTGCAAAAGAGAGCCTCAATCAATTGATTCATTTCTCCGTTGCCAATTGTCCTTCTGGTCACACAACGGGTCGCACGCATGTAAGTAGGGACGGAAGGAGGCCAAGTAAATTAATGGGTCGAGAAGGAAGAATGGCGCACCCCGCCTTGTTTATCATTGCAGGTACGTTGCGCGACCGCGGCTATTCTCAATCACCCATCGATCGTCGTGGGACGCATACCCACATCTGGTCTGCCACATGTGCGACATGTGACTTTGCAGTCTACAAAGCTATTCCATCGCGTATATCGAGCGATCGAGCAGCGTCTTTGGTCGCTGGCTTTTCTGCATCCGCCGTGTCTACACCGTTTTTGACGGTGGAAACCGCCGACGGACGATCCGTATCCATCATCAAGCAACATGGACGTGGCACTCCGTTGGGAGTCATGATTTCGCTAGTACCGGTACATGTATTTGACCACGCAGCACCCCATTTTGCAATTTGCATCGACTTGGTCTCATGTCGCTGCTCCGCGTCCTCGGCCTTTGCGGTGTGCTTGCAATCGCGCTCGTGAATGCCGCCGAGTTGAACAGCACGGTGCTCACCAACAAGACGGGCAACCTTGGCGCCGAAGATGCGGCCTTCAACTGGCCAGACCTCACGGACAAGTTTGGCATCCAGCGCGTGCAACGTACAGCTGCGTGGTATGTTCCGGTTACGATTCTTGACTCGTGGGTGACGATTTGGAACACGATCGTCAACACGCGTCGCCAGATCGACGCCGGCGGCAAGGTCTGGCACCTCCTCCGGTCCAACGGAGCGACCGAATTTGATATGCTGCGCAACGTCCAAGACGACTTGTGTTTGGATGCGTGGTGGAACCCCGCCGCCAACAAGCCGTTTGTGCATGGCTATAAGTGCAATCGCGACGAACTCAACCAGCGCTGGGAGTTCTACTACAAGCAGCGCGAGCGTGGCACACAGATTTGCAGCAAGCGCCACTTCGGCTGGTGCTTGGTGATTCCCGACTTTGGAGATTCGCGCATGGAGTTCTTCGACAACGGAAACACCGAGCTCTTCTTTCAGTTTCGTGATTGGAAAAACGACTTTTAATAGTCAAGTAGACTGGAGCCAAAGAAAGCCACGATAATCGATTGGGCCCTTGGTTTGAGATGAGGATAAATGATATGGATTGAAATCTTTATGCAGATTAAAGACTCCACCTACTAAGACATACGAACTAGTTGTGTGTTGAACGTCAGCGGCCAAAAGCACTTCAACGTGCAGGAGTTCTTCGGCCAGCAGTACCGCATGCCGCCCGTCGTCGGGATGCGCGTACGAGGTGCAGTCGTCGGGTGCGAGCTTGGACAAATGATCCGTGGCTTGGTTGAATTCGCGAGTGTGGTGTTCCCATGTGCACGTAAAACATGTCGCGAGCTCCCGCGCCTGGACATGCAGCTTCTGCAAGCGAGCCTCTTGGACCCGGTCGATGCCCTTCATCTGCTGCATCAGCAGCATGCTGTCGCCGCGCACCGTGAGATGCGTCACTGCCAGTCGCTAAGCTAACTGGAGTGCCGTAATGAGACGGTCGTACTCGGCCTCGTTGTGCGTTGTCGCAGTATCAAGCTAGTTGGCTTGGTACACCACGCTCTGGGGCGGCTCGGTCAAAAAGACGAGCGAGCCACTCCCGCCACAATGCAAGGGAATAAAATCGCTCAATTTTTTATCTTGTGCGTCATTGGGTTCGTGCAAACTGTCCGGCCGGTCCGCCACTATGAATCTCCACCCCTCCCACGTCGTCACGTGATCGAAAAACTGTGCAGGTAGGTAAACCGTTCTGTTTAAACCATACCATTTTTTCAATTCACGCCATGTGAGAAAAGAGAGTGTTTTACGTGATAAAAACGTTTCCCACACGTTAAACCCATTAAACGCCATTCGAAAAACTTGCCAACACCGTCACCGAGCTCCTGAAGAACACCCTGTGATGCTGAATATGTTTTCGCAAGCACGAACTTGGAGTTACGATCCAATGAAACCAGACGTTGTGAGGGTGGGACTGACGACCTTAGTTGGCTGCTTGGCAATCGAGGCTGTCGAGATAATGCTGGGGGATATGATATCAAAGGTGCAAAGAGGTTCATACGTCACTTTGAATAAAGCGATATGGTGACTCGCCGTGCCTCTCGACACGTTCAACAGCGCTCGAGCGTGTCACAAATCAGGACATAGTACGTCTTAATCATCCCGTATTC